AATATAGAAATGTTCAGACTCAGTAATGATTTAATGATTAATATTGAGTCAAAATAATATATGTATATATATATACACACACACACACACACACAGACATGCACACACACATACTGGAGATTAAAATCAGGGGCAGTTAACCTGTAGGCCACATACCCAACCCTTTGTTATTTTTATTTTTCATTTTTAGACAGTGTCTTGCTAAGTTGCTGAAGCTGGCTTTGAACTTGCAATCTTCCTGCTTTAGCCTCCTGAGGGGCTGGGACTACAGGCATATACCACAGCACCCAGCCAATAATGCCTTTTCAAAGATTCACTGATGTGGAAGCTATGGAGAACAGCCAACTAAGATATAGATAATCAGAGTACTCTTGTCCAGAATAATGACAAGGATGTTGGTAATAAAAGTTGAAGCTTAAGATTTTTAAAAATTGAGAGCCTGTTGAGTACCAGCAAGTAATTTTTGTTTTAACTGTATAAGAAATCTACAATTACATAGAATTTTTAGGACAAGACTGTGGGAAGGGAATCATTAGAAATAATAATCACATAGGATGTCACCCAAGCTTACCCATATGAACCAGGGAACCTCTGATTATTTGCATCTGCATTTAGAAGGGATGATTAATTTTACCTAATTATGTACCCCAGATGATTGGAAATTACTATGCAGCTTTTCAGATGGTCTTTAGATTGTTCAGTTAGAACAGAGTAGTTGTGACAGTACCATGATTGTCCAATTGACTGTCTGAAGCCTTTACAGACTCTGAGGCCAGATAGCTGTCATTTTAATACTTGTTATGCATTGAAGGCAATAACCTTTAATAACATTGAAGGTGGAATATAGGATTGTTAGAAGAATTCAATAGAGAATTATCATACAAACTTTTAGTGTAAGTTTTCTTACATACTAAATATTTTGCATTCAGAATTTTGGTGCAGTATTATTATTCTTGGGTCATTAAGGGAAACTCTCTTGCCTTTTGTTTTCTTCTATAAAGAATTTAAATCCCAAATATTACTTTAATCAATTCAGTTATATAAGGACAAGGTATTCTTATTTAGAAATAGTTTAATATAATCATAATAAGCTATACTTTTCACAGTAAATCTTGCAGATCTTTTAGTGTGCTACAATGAAGTATATTAGATTATATTATAGTGGATGACATTGTTACTGTCTATTATACAGAAGTTTCACGTGTTTCCTAGATTCTCTCTCTACCCCTTTTTTATGGTTTTTCATTTAAAGAACAGAATAAGCAGTAACTTGCTTACCATGTGAAATCTGACAAGATTACAGTTCGTGGCTCTGGAATAACAAATTTATTTTATGTATTCAGGCCCCAAAGACTAAAGAACAACCAAATATGTAAATGTCAGGCCTTTGTGTTCACACAGAAAGATAGTATTATTATATAACAGGGGGGAGATTTTTTTTTTTACAAAAGTAATTAAATATTTGAAAGAAATTCCATACATATTCCCAATTTTCATCAATATAGCACAATGTTAATACTAAAACAATATGTAGATTAAAAAAATCAAAAAGCATCCAAAGGCAGGAAATTGAAATGTTACATTTCTTATTTTACTTTACTGTCGTGAGTGTGCTACATCAATTAAAAGTTGCTTCAAGTCCAAGTGCTTTGAGCAATTTGAGAAATACAGCAAAGGATGAAAAATTTGTAAGGCTGCTGTTGAACAATTCCTAGAAAGTTTTTCTTATATACTTAATAATTACATGTAAAGGGAATTTATCTTTGAGGATTTGGAAGACATTTACCTCTAAAGACTTTTTCCTAATAATTTCTAGAAAACCTGCTGCATTTATACAGGGGAGAAATTGCCTGGATTTCCATGAAGATTTTTTTGGTTCAGCTGGAGAGCTGATCTAATGCTTCCTTATGTGTATGGCTCTCAGATACGCCGCTTCACCCGGTTTCTCTCATTGAGTATTGGCCTCAAGCTCTTTTGTGTGGATATCTTATCACAATTTCTAATTTTAAGAACATCTGTTACTTGCTTCCCAAGACTTCTACCACCCAATTGCTCAGTATTATCCTAAGAGACTCAGCTTTTGTCTTCACATCTTCTTGGCTTCACTTTTAATACTCCTGCTCCAAAGTTTTGTACTTATTTTTAATAACTCTGAATTGGTAGTTTCTTTAGAGGTTAAAATGAAAACTGGCTCATTACAACTTATAATTTTCTATATTAACTCAACAGAAACAGAATATTACTTTAAAGAAAAAAAGTTCAAGACTTTTCTGGTATTGCTATTGTCTATTTAATGATAGCTGCACATGTACTCCATAATTTTTCAGGTAGTAATCAGTGCCAAAATTCATGGTAGTATTGAGAATGCCTATTTAATAGCACTTCTTAAGGTGTGCCAGGATATTATTTTATAGTTTTCTAAGTTAAAATAATAGCTTTTAAATTAGTGGAAATGCATGGTAAAAGATAATAAAAATTCATTGAAAATTATTTTAGAGTTACAAAGCCCTTGATATCCATTAAATAAATACCAAAATTTGGCTGATTCTATAGTGAATAGCTTATAGTTGTCAGTAGTCCGGTGTCTTAAATCCAATTTTAACATAGTCATGTGGAATTATTTGAAGAACTCAGGTTACTTTTTATTCAAATTTGTATTCCCATCTGTTAAAAGGAGAAGAAAATTTAATGTAATTGGAAAATTGAGTGATAAGAGTTTCATATTTCTCAACAGTAGTTATCACATATATGGAATATATATGCATATATGTGTGCATAGATATTTTTGAAATCATTTAAGTTAAACATTAAATGAACTCCCTAATTCATTGGGAAAATGGAGACTTGCAGTTGCCTTTTACTTAAGAGGCTTTTATTGGTGATTCCATTGGAAAGCAGTAGTTTTCTTCATACTAATTGTGGAAACCTACCTAATAAATGTCAAATCATATTGTCATGTGGTTCCCTGGTTCTCTGCTCCCTAACCTCCCTAAAAAATAAATAAATACACATATAGTCTAATAAAATACACACATGGTGTATCTTTTCTTTTTTTTCTCATTGTTTCTGTTCTGTGTCTCCTTTACTTCTCAGACCCTAAAATTTCAAACTTCAGGTTGTAAGTAAAGCATTACTTTCTCTGGTTTTTGGCATAGGATCTTTGATCTTTGGCACAGGATCTTTAATCTTTGAATATAGATAATACATAAAATAAGATATGATGGATATTTAAAGAATAAAGATTTTTCATCTTGAGAAATCTAGCCAAATCCTTTGTCCCTCCCCTTAACCAGTCTCTAATGTGGCAAGATCCCATCTGTAGGTGTTATAGTTTTGTTATCGTATTTTTATAATTTATCTAATTATTTTCTCTTAGATTTATAGTAATTGCTACTGAGAATATGTGAAGAGGCATGATGCTTCTTCATCTAATTTGTTTGTAATTGTTATACATTTGTATGAATTTTGAGAAGCCAACAAAAGGTAGTTAGCAAAGTGGCTTCTGATCACAGCACTGGATTATGCATTTACAATGTAGTGGTGGTAGTTCTGCATATCTAAGTGTCTATGTATCTAAGAGCTATATATCTATGTTATCTATCACACTATAACTCATTTTAATTAAATTTATCTAAGTTATGTAACTTTGATCATGTAAAATAGTCTTCTTAGAGCATAAATAATGATTTTGAGCTCTCAGATATATTAGAATTATGTATTAATTATTCAACATGTAAGCAAAAGTAAAGAATGACTAACATTTTTTCTGGATATTATGCCATCTTAAGTCATCTCAAAAAATTGATAGGATTTTTCCTACTTCCCACCCTATAAGAGTGAAAATGTAATTAATTTTCTGACTAGTGCCCAAGTAAAGGACATTAAATAAACTTGCCAATAATAAGTTAAAATTTAAAACTGAGTTGTTAAAAAATATTCACTACCTCTTCTTTGTGGATATGATTTATTGTTTTATTAAAATTGATGATCACAAATACTTAAATAGATATTCATTTAATAAATATTAAGGGTATACCAAATTTATTTAATATATTCAATGTAGAATATCATCAACTAATAAAATAAAAAATAATGAAAAAATTCAACATGCTTATTTTTTAATTGAAGATAAACATAAATACATAATATGCAGGGATATGAAATCATACATGGATAGCTAATTTAATATCAAAATCTAAGTAAATATGAGCAGCTTCATTAGGAGGTGGCAAACATCAGTATCTCAGTTCACTGCTAAGAGCAGTTGCTGGGTCAATGTGACTAAACCCTTAACCTCTCTTAGCACAGGAGAGAAAAGGTTATTATATCTCTAGCGTGGATGACTTTCCCTATTTCTGGTGGTTTAGCCATCTGCTAGACATAGGATTTTGTTATCTTTTGTAACAAAAGCCACTCACATGTGGAAAACAGCCTGCTTGATAACTTGATGGTTGAAATTATATCTCAAAGTTCCTGAGAAGTTGGGTACAGATAGATCTGTCATATTTAGGTGAAAGATTTTACATCTTATTACTACTTTGTTAATTAATATTATACTAGTATTTTTTAACGCAAGCCAAGTTAACACCTTAATAAGTTAATTTACAGCTACAGGAGACTAAGGAAACATAACTTTGAATGTGCTAGTGTAGACTGACAGCATCAATTATTGCTGAAATCAAAGTTAAATTTGACTTAAATATCTGCAGTAAATATTCTAAGATTTTCTCTAAATAAATTAGGCTAGTGTTCAGTTTTGCACTGTAGACTTTGGACTATTGCCAAGTAAAGGTGCAATTTCAGCTGTATCATTTTGTTTCCATTATTTTGTTTTAAGATGTATTATAACATTGAGTTATTGACATATACTAAAACATATCTTGAAAAACTTGTTTTTATAAAACAAATTTGATACTTTATTCTTGGCTAAATGTCTCTATTTTATTTAAACACTCTATTTACTCTTATGTTCCTATTTTCACTTTCTCTTGCTCACCCAGCCTGTGGCCGTGGGTTCTACAAATCTTCCTCACAAGATCTTCAGTGCTCTCGTTGCCCGACCCACAGTTCCTCTGATCGAGAAGGATCCTCCAGGTGTGAATGTGAAGATGGGTATTATAGGGCTCCATCTGATCCACCGTATGTTGCATGCACAAGTAAGTTCATGATGTGAAATTAATAAAGGGCTTTCAGAGCCCTTCCATTTAGTTGTGGAATGACTGAAAAAGCTATTGAATTTGTAAAAAAAATTGTTAACTGTTCTTAAATATTCTGGAAACTTTCCATGAACTAAGTTAAGTAATATAAAATAGGTATATCATATCATTTTCCATGTAGTATTCATTTCTCCAAAATTAGGATATATTTTTATAACATTTTCACATGTACTTAATAGAAATCATAAAATTAAAAGTTCTTAGAGCCTTGAAGGTATATGAAATGTGATTAAAATTAATGTTTTCTGAATTAAAATCACATTGCTAAATAGAGCAAATCACACATTGGTGTTTCTATTAAGAGTGTTTTAGAGGCCCAAATCCAAAGCCAGTCCTACACATTACTATAAATTATTCCTGAGCACATTATGAATGAATAAATATTTTTTTCTGTTATACAGTTAAAAGGAAAACTATTTGTGAACAACTGCACAACTGTTTTTCTAGGTGCCTTAACTGTTCTTTTTTTAATTGCTTGGAAGAAAAATAGCTAAAGACTGTGGCAAAAGTACAAAGACACTTGTTATCCTGTTTTCATTTTGACATATTAAATGGAAAATAAATAAAGTCTCTTGCCAAGTGAATTCAAGGAGGCTTTTATATAGCTTCTCTAGTAAAGGTAGTGAAATGTTTATTGTGAAAGAAAGCATTTCAGCTAGTTTCCTCTTTGGTAATTGGGCCACTAGCTTAATAGTCCCACATAGATTTTGTTTTTCATTTTGTTTTCTCTATTTTTGTTTATTTGTAATTTACTTTTGGTTTCTAAAGGGCCTCCATCTGCACCACAGAACCTCATTTTCAACATCAACCAAACCACAGTAAGTTTGGAATGGAGTCCTCCTGCAGACAATGGGGGAAGGAACGATGTCACCTACAGGATACTGTGTAAGCGATGCAGTTGGGAGCAGGGCGAATGTGTGCCCTGTGGGAGTAACATTGGGTACATGCCCCAGCAGACTGGATTAGAGGATAACTACGTCACTGTCATGGACCTGCTAGCCCATGCCAATTACACCTTTGAAGTGGAAGCTGTGAACGGAGTTTCTGACTTGAGCCGATCCCAGAGGCTCTTTGCTGCTGTTAGCATCACCACGGGTCAAGCAGGTATGTTTTGTGTTTGTCTTTATGGAATGAGCAATGTGTATGACTGTATAAATAGGGTTTCTAGCTTGTATATTTACTTAACACTGCTTGATTTCTCAGCTGGTTGATTATTTACACCTTTAAAGTTTTTCTCCTGTTGCCTATTAAGCCATTACTGTACTCATTAACATCTCCATAGATCTTGCCTGAGAAATAAAAGGGGATAAGTTGTAAACCAGTTGAGACTGCTATTAAATCAAACAACTTTTTTGAAAGCTCTAGAGAAAAGTGAAAATATTGGTCAAAATGAGGTAAAGGGATGTTTCTCACATTTTTACCTGCTTATAATCATAATCTACATATAATTAGGAATAATGAAAAGAGTTGGCTTACTGTCTCACATAATGTTAATAAGCCCTATTTTACTGCATAGAATATAATATTTATAATATATGACAAGCCTGTATTTAAATATTCATGAGGGGATTTTAAGTTCATCAGTAGATTTGTGATCATATGAATGTCCACAATATTGGAATAAGTACTTGGCATATATATGGGTTTCAAAGAAATGGTAATGATAATTGTGAACTTGTAGCTTAGTATAAAGTAGTTTTTATTTTTTTACTGGAATTTGAGGTGTTCTCCCTAGTCATTCTTTGTTGTGGTTAAGCATTTTCAGGGAAATACACACTTGGAAGGAAGTTTCAGAATCAGGAGACTACCAAACCTTCAGAAAATCCTTATTACTTCAGCAAGTTTCAGAAATCAACCTTTCTCAATCTTTTGAAAAATTCTTGTGGCTGAAGGATTAGGCTCTGTAGTAGATGTAGCCAAGTGTTGTCTTACTGTCTTAAGTGAAGTTGGACCTAGACTAGAGTAGGAGTTGTGTGGGCATCCTGGTTTGGCTTATCATGAGGTCTTCTTGGTCTTTGGCTGTCAATCTTAAACCGACCAGTATTATCCCAAATTCCTGGACAAGTACTAATCTAGTCTTCATTTCTATGCCAATTTTAACAAAATGTTGCCTCTTTAAATTACATCTGCAAAAAGAAGACTGTATTTTCTCATGGACAGATGAGTGGGTTCTTATTCTAAAGGTTTCATTCTGATATTTATTTTAAAAGACTGTTTCACATCAGATCTCCCATGTAAGAGCAGAGATCAAACATAGAAACTTAAGATTTTAGTAACTCAACAAAAGAAATAGCTGAGGCTGAGTTAACTGACATCTGAACTTATTCATTTTGCAATGATATTTACATGGTTTTCTATTAAGATGCTTTTGTTAGTAGATATTTTCACCTGTGTTGCATTATATTGAAACTTGTCATCATAAATTTATAGTGAGTGGGTTGAAGCATTCTAGGTTTGTGACATTGACTTTAGGGCTATCTTTTGGAAGCATTAATAGAAACTCTTGGGTCTATTTAACTAGAATAACTTTGTTTTATTCCTATTAATACCAAGAAGTAATTTTTTTAATTTTTAAATATGACCTGAAGATATTAAACTGATACCACAAATAGAGTTTGTAAAATATTTTCCTTTGTTTTGGGTCTCTCTTCTTGCTCCTTAAGTGTCTGTTGCTTAATTTTTCAAGTTAATACAGCATGGGCTCAATAGGTCATAGATTTTCCCTAACTTCTCCTATCAAACATTTCACAACAGTAAGGTAAAATATCTTTGAGTGTTGATGCTTTGCAGAGTAGGAACAAACTTAGGTACAACTACATCACAGTGAATCCCATTATGCTGTATGATTAATATACACTTAGAAAAGAAAAGAAAAAAATAGATTTGGTAGTTTTGGTCTTTTTTTTCCCCTTTTGCTTTGCTACTTTTGGAGGGTTAATTTAAACATGAAAAAAAATTCGATTATGAAAATAACAGTACTGTAAATATAAAAAAATTCAATAATGCACTTAAAATGAGTGAATTTTGTGCTTCGTGAGTTATAACTCAAAAAAATAATAGGTACATGTGATAAGCATAACAACTTTATAGAAAGGAAAAAATATAAAAAAGGGTTAAAAATTAGGTATGTACTTTTATTATGAAATATTAATTCATGATTGCCTAGACTCTACTATCTCTCAAATGCTAAAACCCATGAATTTATACTAACTTTTTTGACTTTCAAAAAAGAAGCACATAAACAAGACAGTCTATGTGATAATTTTATTATAATTTGATTAGTATATTATGATTTTACATAATGGTATTTTAAAAAGATTATAGAAAAAATTGGCATACATTGTTGAATGTCACTCTATTCCATTTATATATTTCCTCCTAACACCAATATTTTTTTTCTTTTTAAAAGGAGGGATGATTTGGAATTTTGTCCAAGTTTATGACTATCCAGAAAACCTATATCATCTTTGAGATCCTCATTCTCCATGAAGCAAACAGCATCACTTAAACCTAGTTTATGCTGCCATTGCTTTGATTATGAATTTATAACTGGATATTTGGTGATTCACTTCATCAGCAATCCACTGATGCCTAGTATAAAAAGTCTTATTAAGTGTATCTCCATGGGTCTGGAAAAAATTAAGAGTAAGGATAGAAAATAATTGGCCAGTGCTTGAGAGATACTGTGTATACTTTTTCTTTTGGAACTACATTGAAGGAGGGAGAAATTGATTTTTGATTGACCTATAAACAATAAGACTATTATCTGGCACCAATTATCTTAATCAATACTTTTAAGTTTAAGATGAGACTCATACAGAAGCATACTATGTGAATATTCTGGTACATAAGACCGAATTTTCTGAAACACATATTTTTTGATGTTGTTTTATTAGAAATTATATTCTAATAATTAGAAATTATATGAATTATTAAGGTGGGTGTCACAGACATCAAGCTTATGTACATTGGAGTTACTTTTTACCTATGTAAATGAAGAGGAAATCATATACATTTGATTTATGGCATTATGATCTTCATTCTTTCTTACATTTGAAGGCTCTCTTAAGCAAATACATAGGAATAGTAAGGACTATTTAAATTGTTAAGGACTATTGACTGCTACTTTTTATTTGTTTAGTCTTCCTTTTTTGAGATAGACTGGTGCCTGCACTGGTTTTGAACTCCTAGGTTTAAATTGTCCTCCTCTTAAGAGAGTATCTGTGTCTCCTCTTGAGTAGCTGAGACTATAGGTGCTTGCCACTGCACCTGGCTGAATGCTATTTTTACAGACTAATTCAGACAACCATACTAACTATTGAGGGGTGAAACAACATCAGGGAATGCTGAGGACATGAAAGCAAAGAACAGTCCTTCGTTGTGAGTCCATACTGCAGCAGACATGCGCTTACATACACAAGTAATAATAGTACACTTGACTGTATGTAATACATATTGAGTGAAATACAGAAGCGTTGAAGATAGGTTTCTTTCTGTGGTTAAAGAGGAGTTACAGAAAAAGATGCCAGTTGATCTGGAGTTTCAGGATGGATATAGTTTTGCCATATGAAGGACAGTAAGTCATACTCTAGACCATTAGGAGAAACATGCTGTTCACCCAATTATGAGATTGTAACTTTGATTAAAAACCTTCCACAGACCAAGTGCTGTAGTGCACAAAAGGTTTGCAAAAGTATAAAGTTATTAAAAAAAGATCAATAACTGAAAATTATTACCTCTTTCTGTTATATTTTTGTTCACTCTAAAATTATTTAAGCAGTTCAACTTTTTTTTTTTTTTAACATTGTTAGTAAAGACGCTGCAAAATTATACAATGTGATCTCTCCCAAAAGGAACTTAGGGGATTTTCAGTTATCTTCCACATCAGAAACCGTGTCATGTTTATATGTGTTACCACCATCTAGCTTAATTCTTTCCACATGCAAACTGTAAAAAGAATGTTGTGTAATTAAAACCAAAGGGAAACCTATTCATACACAAGAAAAATTAAATGAATATACAAGTGTGAAAACATTGAGACAGTGTTCAAAAAGACATAGTTTGATGTTAGCTAACATAATCACATGATTTTAGACAAGTTACTTCTTTTGAACTTCAATTTTCTCCTGATATAAATGGCATAATAGTTTTTGACTCTGTATATTATAAAAGCTGTTTGTGACTCAGTAAACTTTATAGTTATTAAAGCAAAAATAGTGTGTGTGTATATGTATATACACATATATATAGTATTATAAAAATCATAATAGCAATAACAATTACTGTTTACTACACACATACTATGTGCCTGATACTTTTTAAGTGTATACTTGAAAAGAGTGTCAAAATTGAGTCACCTAACTTCTAAGGCCTCATGTAGTCTCCTAGACAATAAAGAGGCATAAGATAATATAAAACACCTTGTCTTTCAGACATAACAAATGGACAAATAATGATGCAATACTAATTGTATTGTTATTCAATACAGAAGTCACTGCAAATTTTTAAATAGCTGTGTAGAGTGTGTGCATATTCTATACTTTTTAGTGGGATTAATAACTGCTAACATGCTCTGAAAGCTTTGAGAAGGAATTAGAATGAAAATTTAACACTCCCTGAAAAGGATATGGATGGTTTCTCAAATATGGCTTTCCCACAACCAAATACGTAGGTGAAGTTCATTAAGGGGAACATTTGGGATCAACATCATCAGAACAAAAAAGGAAGGAAACAAGACTAAGCAGAGGGCAAATCTAGCTGTAGTGTTGTCTCTTTGGAATCTGCAGCTCTCTCTGTGGGGAACTCTCTACCTGTAATGAACTTTTAGGTCGTCCTGACTTGAAATAACCTCTGCGTTGTCCAGATCTAAGTTGAAGAATTTAATAGGAAGCACAAGGTGTTATTTTTATGATGAAAACCATTCTAAAGGGGCAAGGAATGGAGGTCTGCTTTCTGGCAGGTATCTCAGCACCGGGGCAAAGAATTTCTTCTTTCCTCCAACAGGAAGAATGTGGCCACTATATCCCAATATCCATTATAGATAGTTAAATCGTTAAAAAAAAAAAAAAAACATAAGGGGGGCAAATTTCAGGAAAGAGAGGCAA